CCCCTCCTTCAGAGTGCAGGCACTGTACTTCCCATCTCCAGGACTCAAGTCCGGCCTGCCGGTTTCCCTGAACCCCTTCATAAATGTTACTTTGCTCACACTCCAACAGCACGTCAAGTATTAAAAACCATTTGTCTCCATTCACTCCTATCAAACACGCTCACGCATGCCTGCTGGAAGTCCAAGCCCCTCGCACACAAAACCTCCTTTACCCCCTCCCTCCAACCTTTCCTAGGCCGACCCCTACCCCGCCTTCCTTCCACTACAGACTGATACACTCTTGAAGTCATTCTGTTTCGCTCCATTCTCTCTACATGTCCGAACCACCTCAACAACCCTTCCTCAGCCCTGTGGACAACAGTTTTGGTAATCCCGCACCTCCTCCTAACTTCCAAACTACGAATTCTCTGCATTATATTCACACCACACATTGCCCTCAGACATGACATCTCCACTGCCTCCAGCCTTCTCCTCGCTGCAACATTCATCACCCATGCTTCACACCCATATAAGAGCGTTGGTAAAACTATACTCTCATACATTCCCCTCTTTGCCTCCAAGGACAAAGTTCTTTGTCTCCACAGACTCCTAAGTGCACCACTCACTCTTTTCCCCTCATCAATTCTATGATTCACCTCATCTTTCATAGACCCATCCGCTGACACGTCCACTCCCAAATATCTGAATACATTCACCTCCTCCATACTCTCTCCCTCCAATCTAATATCCAATCTTTCATCACCTAATCTTTTTGTTATCCTCATCACCTTACTCTTTCCTGTATTCACCTTTAATTTTCTTCTTTTGCATACCCTACCAAATTCATCCACCAATCTCTGCAACTTCTCTTCAGAATCTCCCAAGAGCACAGTGTCATCAGCAAAGAGCAACTGTGACAACTCCCACTTTGTGTGTGATTCTTTATCTTTTAACTCCACGCCTCTTGCCAAGACCTTATTTACACTACAATATTTACATTATTTACACTACAATATTTACATTATTTACACTACAATATTTACACTACAATATTTACATTATTTACACTACAATATTTACATTATTTACACTACAATATTTACATTATTTACACTACAATATTTACATTATTTACACTACAATATTTACATTATTTACACTACAATATTTACATCATTTACACTACAATATTTACATTATTTACACTACAATATTTACATTATTTACACTACAATATTTACATTATTTACACTACAATATTTACAATATTTACACTACAATATTTACATTATTTACACTACAATATTTACATTATTTACACTACAATATTTACATTATTTACACTACAATATTTACATTATTTACACTACAATATTTACATTATTTACACTACAATATTTACATTATTTACACTACAATATTTACATTATTTACACTACAATATTTACAATATTTACACTACAATATTTACATTATTTACACTACAATATTTACATTATTTACACTACAATATTTACATTATTTACACTACAATATTTACATTATTTACACTACAATATTTACATTATTTACACTACAATATTTACATCATTTACACTACAATATTTACATTATTTACACTATAATATTTACGTCATTTACACTACAATATTTACACTACAATATTTACATTATTTACACTACAATATTTACATTATTTACACTACAATATTTACATTATTTACACTACAATATTTACATTATTTACACTACAATATTTACAATATTTACACTACAATATTTACATTATTTACACTACAATATTTACATTATTTACACTACAATATTTACATCATTTACACTACAATATTTACATTATTTACACTATAATATTTACATCATTTCCACTACAATATTTACAATATTTACACTACAATATTTACATCATTTACACTACAATATTTACATTATTTACACTATAATATTTACATCATTTACACTACAATATTTACATTATTTACACTACAATATTTACATTATTTACACTACAATATTTACATTATTTACACTACAATATTTACACTACAATATTTACATTATTTACACTACAATATTTACATTATTTACACTACAATATTTAGATTATTTACACTACAATATTTACATTATTTACACTACAATATTTACATTATTTACACTACAATATTTACATTATTTACACTACAATATTTACATTATTTACACTACAATATTTACATTATTTACACTACAATATTTACATTATTTACACTATAATATTTACAATATTTACACTACAGTATTTACATTATTTACACTACTACAATGATACAATGAGAAACGTAATATTGGAATCCTGGTAGTTATATCATAACTGGAGAAGTATTAATTATATTAATTATTGTATTAATTATAACACCGAACTGGCGTGGACCTTTCCTCCCTTCGTTAATTACGGCCCGGTCTCCGGTCCATCAGGCTGTTGGTGGTGACTTGTAGCGTTAAAACCACGGTACTGTTTCTCTCCTACCAGTTCAATGACAACAAAGTGAAAGAACTGACAAATAGTCCCAGTTAACGCAGGTACCTTTGACATAGCTTTGATGGGTTTCGAGAGTTTTTCAAACTCCCTTAGCCCGGTCCTGGGCCAAGCTTGTCTGGTGCCTTACGGACGATGCAAAAATCTTTAGCAAGAAATATAAACAACTGGAAATCAAGACAAGAAGGCGTGGATAAACTGACCAAATAAAGTGACAGATGTCTTACGGAATTTAAAGTGGACAATGGAAACGAGAGAAAGCGAATCTGACCAGACAAACAAGTGTAATGAGCGCTTGTTTGTGGGACAAACAAACCGACATAAAGGAAATAAAACGGATAAGAAAAACCACTGAATAACTTGACTCACGAAATCGTAATGACACGATTGCAAACTGAATATTTTGGCTTACACTTCAGGACTTTTTCCAGCAGACTGGAGAGGGTCTCTAGGTAGACCGAAAGTATTTGTGATTTGCCTTTCTTAAACTGGTTATTTCAATAGATTAACCCGTACGGTTATTATCCAGTTAACATGTACACACATTCTGTCTTTCTCATAGGTATCATCTTTCGCGAGGAAGAATACGTCTCTGGTTTGAGAACTTAAATATATATTAAGTTAGAAGTCGTTAAATTAACGTGGTTTAACATAAAATAACCTGAAATGACATGAAGAGCACAGAAGGGTGAAAAAGTACAATAGATGCAGTTTTACTGTAAGGATGAGTGACTCGTGTAGGCTCACTCGTGCCAACAACAAATCATTATGCAAAAGTATATACTCTGAAGGTCTATATTATTTATTTTATTTTATTTTTATTATCACACTGGCCGATTCCCACCAAGGCAGGGTGGCCCGAAAAAGAAAAACTTTCACCATCATTCACTCCATCACTGTCTTGCCAGAAGGGTGCTTTACACTACAGTTTTTAAACTGCAACATTAACACCCCTCCTTCAGATTATACCAGCCTTATTTCAGTGCTAACTCGTAGTAAAATCCTAGGGGAGATCATTCTGCCTTAGTATAAACATAAGATTTCCTTCCAATCACATTAAAAATTAATTAGTGTCTAGTAACTCAGATTGACTCACAAATATCACAGTTTAATATAAAAGGAACCCAATGGAATTAAGTCACTTTGACTTCTTTGGTTATCTTATGTTATTTCATTATGTATGATAATTGTACTTATGTGTACCTGGTGGCTCTGGTGGCTAACGCTCTCGCTTCACACGGCGAGGGTCTGGGTTCGATTCCCAGCCAGAGTAGAAACATTGGGCGTGTTTCTTTCCACCTGTTGTCTATGTTCCCCATCAGTAAAATGGGTACCTGAGTGTTAGTCGACTGGTGTGACTCAAGAAATCGTAATGACACGATTGCAAACAAACCATACCCCCGGCCGGGATTGAACCCGCGGTCATAGAGTCTCAAAACTCCAGCCCGTCGCGTTAGCCACTAGACCAGCTAGCCACAATAAGATTCATCCAACTAGGTATATTTCTACACCATAGGAAGGTTAGCACAGGCACCACTGTGACCAATATTTGTGGTCAGTGGTGCCTGTGCTAACCTTCCTATGGTGTAGAAATATACCTAGTTGGATGAATCTTATTGTGGCTAGCTGGTCTAGTGGCTAACGCGACGGGCTGGAGTTTTGAGACTCTATGACCGCGGGTTCAATCCCGGCCGGGGGTATGGTTCGACTGGTGTGGGTCGCATCCTGGGACACTGACCTAATTTGCCCGATATGCGGAGCATAACAAGGGACTTTCTATATAGTAGTATGTCATTGTTGTCAGCTAGGCCTGTATACCATATACATGTACTTTTAGTAAATAAAGATATTATTATTATATATTATCGTTTAATTAAAAAAGTCACAAATAATTATTTTTGTTTACCACCAAAGATTGTTATAGAAAACTTCCATCAGGGTTAAACACTTCATAGAAAACGTCACAATTACTGGACTAACTCAAACACTTTCACTCCTCAGACTAAGAACTTGAGGTTACACTGAACAAATATCCACCATAGAAAACGTAAAATTTCAGTTGCTGCAACTTTTGAGTGCAGCAGGACAGGTTTCCAATGTAAGATTCATTCGCATATGTAAAAAAAAAAAAAAAAGTCCTATACATTAGAGCGGCGGCTGTATGTCTACGTGGGATGTCTCCTCTGCATGACTTCATCAACAGATCAAAACGTTATCCCGATCAAGGCTCGTTTTGTAAATGCATCTTTTCTTCATTAGTCTAAGAGCTTCTAAGCACCTTTGAGTGTTTCTTCAGTTTGTAAACACAATTAAGTGCATGTTCAGTTTGTAAATACAATTGAAGTGCATGTTCAGTTTGTAAACACAATTTAAGTGCCTCTTCAGCTTCTAAACACAGTTTTCATACCTTACCACTTTTTAAATACAAATACAAAAAAGTGCATAATAGAAACAATACGTGTAAACTATAAAACATGTAACTGACCGTATTAGCCTCGTGGTACAGGTGACAGTGACGGGAGGACTGTGTGTGCTCCTGAGTCAGTAGTAGCCTCGTCAGGGAGTCCACCGTGTCAACCAGGTGTTGACACTGTGTCAACCACGACCTGTGAACCAAAATAACCATTACTGTTAACTAATGTTCTCTTACTTATTGCTGCATCGAGAAGGAAAATTTTATTCTCGTTTCATTACTTACAGTAAATAATGTATAAAGATTTGGAGAGATATGGTGTAAAATATCGATACGATGGCAAAAGATACCAATGGAGTATAATGTGATGACAAAATTTCGCCCAGGCAGTGGGTTTTAGGTCACAGGTCAAATCTATTTGTGACTTGATCAAGCTCGTCGTGTGGGCGAAATGTCGTCAATAAAAGATCGCATTTTACTCTCTCTTCTATCAAGATGTTTTGACAGTCTAGATGCTCACATGGTGCTCATTACAGACAATACCTAATGTAATACCTAATTCAGTTTCCAGGAAACTGTACCTATACAATACACAAATTTATACAAATACACAAACAAAAGAACACGAAACTTACTTAACTAGAATATGTTCATGAAGTCTTTGGTACCATTTTTCCATCTCCCGCAAGTAAGCTCTGGCATTGTGTGTATACTGGCACGCTGCCTCGACGTCCCCTGACGAGGCAGGGGCAAGGCAGTGAGAGGCTGGCGAGTAGGAGGAAGAGGAACTAGATAACCCATTGGAGTAGTGTGAGGGTAGTGGTGGTGGTGATGGCGGTGGTGAGGAAGGTTGGTGTTGGAGAATACATCTCTCCAGCGTGGTGGCACATGCACGCACCACATCCAACAAAGTCTCCCGCATCTGAAACATTCCCAGTTCACTCTTTAATCACCGAAGCTAAAACAATCGGTAGCTTTAAACAATAGGTTCGATAAAAACACGAGTGATTAAATTATTGAAGCTAATTCCTTGTTAGCTTTAAGAATAGGTTCGATAAAAACACGAATGATTAGGCTACTGAAGCTAATTCCTTGAACGGCTCTAAGAATAGGCTGGATATTAGACGGACCTGTCAAGTATGAGCCTACTGGCTCATACTTGACAGACTGGAGGGGACTGAGGTATACCCTTCAGGTATACCTCAGATCCCCTCCAATCTTATGGTCTTATCATTTGTTTACACGGTTAAAGTCATACTGTTATGATCTGCCATAATTACTTTCACAGCCCAGCCCCTTTTTAAGGCATACTACAAAACACCTGTGAGTGTAACGTTGTACCAATAAAGGTGTTTCTGAAGAATTAAACACGTATGTAACAACTGGGTATAAGTATTAAATAGACGTTTCGCCAACCAATGGCTTCATCAATCCAATACAGAGACAAAAAGAGGCGATTGAAGAGGTAGAAAATGAGGCAATCAGTCCCTCAGCCTAGCAGCAAGTGTACAGTATCGTACTCTTCATGCATCTGACCTTGTCTGTGTTACATTTTTTAAGTATATCGCCGAAAACAAGAGAAAAACAAAAAGCTGGCACAGAGACCCACCTTGCAGAAGGCGAACCATGCGTGGTGATTGAAGACCAACGTTCCACCAAACTGTGATGACAACTGGTCCCGTGGTACTCTCCTATGCAACTCCTCCTCGCTTACTACTTCCAACTGTCAACAAAGGAAAAAGGAAATTTATTTCTGTAAAAACTTACAATGGCTACAATAAGTGGAACATGAGCTAACTGGAAAGGCTCTCATTATGCACAACATTTCAACATTAACAACACTTGATATACCTTTGATGAGTTTCGAGAGTTTTTCTACTCCCAGAGCCCAGCCTTGGGCCAGGCTCGTATGGTGCTTGCCTGGTCAACCAAGCACATAACGGATGTTTCTCAGTGTATATATCCCGAGAGGGATATGTCTCAGTTTATACATACACCGAGAGCAGTATGAATCAGTTTTTATACCAATATACACCGTATATATACCAAAAAGTGTATCTATATATACACTGAGAGGCATTTATTTCTCGGTGTATATACACCAAGAGTGAATATTCGTCCATATACACATGGCTTAATTTAATTCCAACTTTGAGGATTGAAGTATTTATGATATCAGTACACGGGTAAATTCCAGCCTAAAAGAACTTAAACATAACACACTCCATGTACTTAATTGTTGTTCTAACACACTCCATGTACTTAAATGCTGTTCTAACACACTCCATGTACTTAATTGCTGTTCTAACACACTCTATGTACTTAATTAGTGTTCTAACACACTCCATGTATTTAATTGCTGTTCTAACACACTCCATGTACTTAACTGCTGTTCTAACACACTCCATGTACTTAAATGCTGTTCTAACACACTCCATGTACTTAATTGCTGTTCTAACACACACCATGTACTTAATTAGTGTTCTAACATACTCCATGTATTTAATTGCTGTTCTAACACACTCCATGTACTTAACTGCTGTTCTAACACACTCCATGTACTTAATTGCTG